GAAGAACTGGACAGGACTGAACAACAAGGTCCTACTAGGTGTGGAGGGTGGCTCAGTGGACAGAGCGCTGGCCTGCAGTCCCAAGTTCAATTCCAACCCCAGATGCTTACTAGCTGTGTGACCCTGGGCAAGTCACTTAACCTCTATTTGCCTTAATCCACTGGAAAAGGAAATGGCAAACCACTCCAGTATCTTTGCCAAGAAAACTCCAACAGAAATTTGTACGGCCCACAGGGTCAGGAACAGTCAGACAGGACTGAACAACTGGACGATTGTGCTGAGTGCTGAGGATATAATTAATAAAAAGAAAGGCAGTCCTGAACCTTTACAATGTAATGGAGGGGACAGCTCACAGAAGGAGGCAGGAAAGGGACAGAAGGGGAAGGGGTTGTGCTATTCCAGCAGGAGTTCCAAAGGTCCAGCTGTGGGGGTGTGAGCCAGGAGACCCCCCAGGGCCCGGCAGTGTGGACAGCAGGAGATGGGAAAGGAGCAAACCGGCCCCTGGGGGCTCAGGGCCTCCCTGGCCTTCAGCCCATTTGCTCCTCTCTCTTTACATCCATCAACACCTACTGTGCACATCCTAGGTTACTTCCTAACATCAAGCAGCAGAGAAACTCACCTCCCTGGTCCCAAGTTCAAACTAGGAGCAGTGGGCAGACCTTACAAAATGATGACAGTATCATCTGGAAAAACCTCCAGCTCAATGGCTGTCCCAAGACCGGAGAAGGAGCCAGGGGTGTTGTGGAAGGGATTTTTGGTGAGGGTGCCTCACGAGGTCCCTTCGAGGTCCCTTCCAGCTCGGAGATTTGGAGATGCTGGAAGGCAATGGTCCATGACCCAGGGATAGGGAGAGTACTAGAGCGTGATTTCATTGGTCTAGGGAACTCCAGGTGAGGAAAGTCCCTCTTCCCACATGGGTCAATGCCTTCCCTGCACCTTATAATAAACCTAGGGGCACTAACATCAAATGACTTGCCCAGACTCAGACTCGCCCTGCTACTGTGTGTCCAAGGCTCTTCCTGCCTCCAAGACAAGCCCTCTGTCCAGCACCATCCTACTGGACTTCTCATGCCCTTTTTAGGTTTCCCAAGGCACCCTCATCCAAGAAGATGCCCTATCTTTTTCTTTGGGCTCAATACACTTCTTCGTTTTCCCACTTTGTTGTCTAGGCCTTTGGGGAGCATCCCAGAGTTCTATCAGCTCTTGCCTCCCTCTGGCTCCATGGGGTAGCTGTTGGCCAAAGACCTCTGAGTAGATGGCCACCAAGCATAGCCGTAACTAGGGTGAGGTGGATGATGCTTTTACCCAGAGGACCACATAGTATGAAGAGGGAGGCATCGTTCTCTCTATGGCAATTCAGAGACCGCCATTTTTCTGTGCCCTTGTGGAGGAAAGGGAAGGTGGATCCCAGCAGAGGATGAGGGGGCGGGGTGCAAATATCTGGTTGAGCTCAGAGAAGGGGGGGGCAGACCATTCTCCTTCTGGGGGAGAGGAGCCCTGAAGCTGTACCGTTCTCCATCCCTGCTGCGTCCCATTCTTTTAGGCTCAAAAGTTGGGAGGGATCTTGGAGGTGGTCTCCTCTAATCCCCTCATTTTTACAAATAAGGAACTTGAGGCCCAGAGACATTAGATGATTTGGGAAAGTTCCCATCGGTCTGTCCTCTCTGGCCACTTATCACCCATGCTGCCTAGGCTTCATCTGTCCTCGAGGTAGATGAAGACAGTGGGTGGCCCTTTCACCCTCATAACCTCCTCAAGACTTAGCAGTGTGCCATTCATCCTTTTATTTCTTCCCTTTCTTTCCCCTGAATATGTTACCCGTTCGGCCTTGTTCACTGTGGGGCCCTGGCTGCCCTGAACAAGCAAGCAGGTGGCAGGAATTCCCCCCAACTTTTTTTAGGAAGACCAAGAAACTGAGGCCCAGGCAGGGGAAGGGAAGAGCCCACTTATGGAGCCGGGGAGGGAAGCCAGGGTAAAGTCTGGTTCTCCTGCTCACAGCCTGTCAGATTGGCTTTGCCGGCCTTTGACTCTCAGTTATGGCAGAGCAGGCCATGGTCTGGCTGAGGGCCCTGGGGGAGGTCTCCTTTCTATAGCGGACCAAGGGCTCAAGCATAAATGGGCATGGACCTCCCAGAGGCCTGTGGGGTGAAAGGGGGAGGAAACATCTCAAAAAGCATGGTTGGCAGACCCCTTGGGCTTTGTCTAGAATAGTGAGTGCTCTTCTGGGGGGCAGGAGAGGGTGCTGTTGGGAAGCCAGTTTTGACTTGATTTCCAGAAAAACTCCCTACCCAGTAGGGCTGTCCTGGAATGGAAGGTATTGTCCCAAAAGGTGGCTAAACCAAGAAAAAGACAGACCATTATACCCAAGACAAAGTCAAGGAAAGGCCTTCGAGCGGAGGCTGGGCGCCCCCTTGTCAGACATGATGTACATGGAGGGACCACAGGACAACCAGAAGGGACCTCAGAAGCCACTTTTACAGATGGGGAAACTGAGGCCCAGAGACATCAGAGGGGGTCTCAGAAGTCATCTGGGCCTGCCCCTTCATTTTTCAGATGAGAAGAGGAGGCTCTCTGTTTCACCAAGTCCCCACAGGTCCTAAGAGGCAGAGTCCAGATCTGAATCCAAGCCCTCAGACTCTAACTCCTCCTGTTCGGGTAAGGTTGGCTCTGAGAATGGGCCTGCCGAACCCTCCTGAGCTGAGATGATGGCAGTCTGGGTCTGAGGGCTCTGGGAGCTGAATTCCGAACTGCGGATGACTTCCCGGGCTGGATACAAGATGCCAGAGCTGTCTGTCCCTGTGCTCCCAGAACCTAGCCTTCCGTCGGGAGCAGGCTTCTCTGGGGCTTGGACTGGCCAGCTGCCTCTGCAAAGCTGCTTTCTCCCAGTTCCAGGGGCCCCAGGCCCTCCTGCCTCCTCGCAGGTGCTGTCCAGCAGACACCAGCAGCCTCTGAGGTTTCTCTGGCGGTGGGGAAGGGGCCTGGGATGGGAGACAGCCGGGGGTTCCAGAGGCATCCATCCCCTCCCTTCCAGCCCAGGTGGTGCCTAGCAGCTGGCAAGGCTCCGGCTGGCAGGGCCTAGATCGTGGGCACCCCTTCCCCAGCCAGGCAACCTGACTCCAGCTCGGAACTGCAGGACAGACAGGCTGGGGGTGGGGAGGAGAAAGGCAAGGCTCACCGCCCAGGCTTAGACACCTGGAAACAAAAGAGGGGAGCCGGCCTGGCCCCAAGGAGATTCAAAGCAGAGCGGCCTCTCTGATTGGTGGCTGCCCCTGGTGGGGGCCCCTTTAGGCTCACATCTGTCCCAGCCCCTCCCTCCCTTCCCTTCCCCTGTAACCAGAGCCCAAGGCCCCTCAGGACCCTCCTCCTTCCCCTGCCATCTGGGGTGGGGGAGGGGCTTCCCCTTCCTTTCCCCAGGGTGAAGAGGTGGGGGGAGGTGGGGAGACCAGGGCTACAGAATCGAGTTCCTGTTCAGACAGAGCCACCCTCTTTTCCTACCCAGATACCAGCAACCTGTGGACTGAAATTTCACCCCCTGTAGCAGCCTCACTCCGGCCTTCCTCCCCCCAACTGTCACAGCCAAACAGACCCCAGCTGCACAGTTGGGTCCCTGGGGCTGGGGCTGGGGTGGGGAGAGCCGTGCCCACACTTAGGGAGGAGGAGGAGAGACAGAGAGGAGGAAGGAGAAAAGGAGGA